TATATATAGAAAAAATTAGCCGGGCATGGTGGCGCATGCCTGTAGTCCCAGCTACTCGGGAGGCTGAGGCAGTAGGATCTCCTGAGCCCAGGAGTTTGAGGTTGCTGTGAGCTAGGCTGACGCCACGGCACTCACTCTAGCCCAGGCAACAGAGCCAGACTCTGTCTCAAAAAAAAAAAAAGAAGTCTATATTCTACCTCTTGAGGACGCTGCCCAATTTCCTGTATGATGCTATAGAGATCTCCTCACCTGTCTGTCTCATCGTCTCCATCCACAAATGGGGATAAAAGCACTTTTTCTCTAGATTATGTTTGTTTTAAAAGAAAAACTAAATGACCTAAATGCCACACAAATGTCTAACAAACATACCGACCGACGGAGCTCATGATAACTAAATCATTCATTAAACAAAAATTTATTAATCACTTCCCGCTGTGCTAGGTATTAGAAAACAAGGATAAGAAGCATAATGTTGTCCCTCAAAAACTTTACATGGGAGACTAAAGTGGGAGAATCCCAGGAAAATAGGCAACTGAAAGTCATGGGGATGCTCACTGTGTCAGAAGTCTCCACTGCTGTGGACGCCGGGAGGTGGAGCCTGGTTCTGCCCATGGGAATCAGGACACAGAAGGTGGCAGTCGAGCTGAGTCCAGAAGGATGAGTCAAGTTTGCCAGGAGGGGTAAATGTGTAGGTGGAAGAAGTTTCAATATGAAGAAGCCACGTTCAAAGGCTGAAACATAAAGACATGTAAGGAGAATACAGAACTCAGAGAACTAATAGTAGTTGTGATTTGCAACTGAAAAAAGCACAACGTTGAGGAAATGAGGTGGAATGTAATGGTTATAGCCCGGATGGTTATAAAAATTATTATTATTATATATAACACTTATTAGGCACTTACTAAGTACCAGGCACTGAGCTTTATACTCTTTGGACCCTCATGACAACCTATGAGGTGGTTATTATTTTACTATTATCTCCATATCACAAATGAATAAACCGAGGTTAGCACAGCATCATTCTGTGGAACAGGGGTTTTAATCCACCTCTGTCCACAGCCCCACCATTTGGCACTATGCTCTGCTGCTTTCTATGTCATGCTAAAGGGATTAGAGTTTGTCCTGTAAAGGAGAATATTAAATACATATTTCAAGAGGAGAGTGGCAGAATTTCCACATACACCCCCCTACCCGCCCTCACCCCCGCCCCTGCCATGGCAGTGGAGAGGCAAGATTAGTGGAAAGTAAGATTACACAGACAGCAGCCAGGAAGAAAAATGTTGGAATAGTTGAGGGGGTACTGAGGATAAAGGAAGAGGGGACAAGGATAAAAGTTTAGATGTTATGGGACAGGATCATTAATTATCTGGGGAAATACAGGGGAGAGCAGAAACTTGGGAAACTGGGTAGATAGTGGTGAATGTTGCTTAAATACCAAATGTCAGAGAAGACGTTTGAGGGGAGAGGAGCCTGGGGCTGGGTACATTCAGTTGGAGGTACTCACGAAATCCTTCATGGAGCAGCCTTGCTGCTCCAACCTCAGGAGAGGGTGTCATGGGCCAGAGTTATGCCTTTGGGAGTCATCAGCATGTATCCATGCTGAAAGCATTAGCCTGCAATAGATCGTTTAGGGCGGTATGTGAAATGAGAACAGAAAAATGAGGAGGATAGAAGATGGATTCCTTAATTTTAGAAGGAAAAAAAATCTCAGATTTTGTATTAGGCCTAAAAAGAGAAAACTGAGCAGCAGTGGTCAGAAAGAGGACCAGAAGAAAGAACCGGAGGGAGTAGGGTCGTGGAAACCAAGGAGGAATCAAATTTCAAGAAAGAAAGTAAAGGCAGTGGTGTTAGAAGAAGCATGTGGCCGATAAAATTTCTCAGCTGGGCGTGGGGCTCAGGCCTGTAATCCTAGCACTGTGGGAGGCCAAGGCCAGAGGATTGCTGGAGGTCAGGAGTTCGAGACCAGCCTGAGCAAGAGCCAAACACAGTCTCTGCTAAAAATAGAAAGAAATTAGCTGGACAACTAAAAATACATAGAAAAAAAATTAGCCAGGCATGGTGGTACATGCCTGTAGTCCCATCTACTCAGGAGGCTGAGGCAGGAGGATTGCTTGAGCCCAGGAGTTTGAGGTTGCCGTGAGCTAGGCTAATGCCACAGCACTCTAGCCTGGGCAACAGAGCGAGACTCTGTCTCAAAAAAAAAAAAAAAGACTTCCCTGTTACACTACAACCATTGCAAGCAGCACCGTAGTGGGAAATAAAGAGTAATTACTGATTTCCACCTTCTTCTCTACAGAATCCTTACTTTGGATATTTTGGATATCATGGCTTTGGAGGTCGCCCTCCTTACTATTCAGAAGAGATGTTTGAACAAGATTTTGAACAACCAAAAGAGGAAGATCCTCCTAAAGAGGAGAGTCCAGCCAAAGAACCCACAGTTAATTCAACAGTTACCGAGACTAATTCTACCCAACCAAATCCCAGAGGGGCTCAGGGAGGAAATGATACCACCCCGACAGGGAATGGTGGTCCAGGGGTAAACACTGGGGGCAGCCCTACAACCCAAAATGGGGGCAGCCCTACAACACAAAATGGGGGCAGCCCTACAACCCAAAATGGGGGCAGCCCTACAACACAAAATGGGGTCGTCCCACCCCCTGCAGTCAACACTTCAGTCCAGGGAGTGCCAGGAAGTCAAATTCCGCGGAGACCAAGTCAGCCAAACCTTCACGAAAATTATCCGTATCCTAACATACGAAATTATCCTTCAGGAAGACAGTGGTATTCCACTGGAACAGCCATGGGGCGCAGACAGAGTTGGCCTTTTTACCACAATCAACAATTTCAACAATTTCAACAATTTCAACAGTTTCAAAGGGGTCCTCGGTGGAACTCCTTTGCTTTGGAGAGTAAACAGGTAGCTCGTCCAATAAATCCAACTTATCAAAAAGCTTATCCTTCCACTTCAAGAGGCAATTATCCCAATTATGCAGGAAACCCAGCAAATATCAGAAGAAAGCCTCAGGAGCCTAATAAACACCCTGTGGGAACCAATGTTGCCCCACTGGCTCCCAAACCCAGTACTGTTAATCACAATGAAAAAGTCCAAAATCCAAGCGAGAAGCCACTAGGTCAAAAAGAAAGAGCAGCCATTCCTACAAAGGATCCAAGTGGCCTCTGGAGAAACTCTCAACATTACGGAGTTACTAAATCAAATGACAAACTGCCTCCCCCTGAAAATAACATGCCAGTTCCAAATTTTAATTCCATCAATCAACGTGAAAACTCCTATTACCAAACAGGAGATTCCACAAAAGTCCCCAATTCTAATGGACAAACCCAAAGCCAGAATTTGCCCAAAGGGATTGTTTTAGAGCCAAGAAGAAGTCCATATGAATCTGAAACTAACCAGCCAGAATTAAAGCACAGTACTTACCAGCCTGTATACCCGAAGGAAATCCCTTCTCCTGCAAGGGGACATTTTCCTGCTGGAAAAGATACTTGGAACCACCAAGAAATCTTTCCACCTTTCAAGGAAGATCCTGGGAGGCAGGAAGAACATTTACCTCATCTTTCCCATGGCTATAGAGGAAGTGTTTTCTACCCTGCATATAACCCCTATGGTCCCAGGGAAAACTCACCATACGTTAGAAGCAATATGTGGGATGAGAGAGTTGATTCTCCCAATACTATGGGGCAACAAGAAAACCCACTGTACCCCGTAAACACTCCAGACCAGAAAGGGGGAGCCCCTCATAATGAAGAGGACCCAATTGATCCAACTGGAGATGAACCTTTTCCAGAACAAAATAGATGGGGTGAGGAGCTGAGCTTTAAAGGAGGCCCAACAGTGAGGCACTATGAAGGTGAGCAACATACCTCAAATCCACCAAAGGAATATCTTCCCTATTCCCTAGATAATCCATCAAAACCCAGGGAGGATTTTCCTTATCGTGAATTTTACCCCTGGAGCCCGGATGGGAATTTTCCATCATATAATACAGCTCCTACTCTACCACCACCTATAGAGAGCAGGGGCTATTATACTAACAGTGCTGTTAGACGAGAAGAAAGCACTTTATTTCCTTCACAGAACTCCTGGGACCACAGGATTCAAGCCCAAGGGCAGAAAGAAAGAGGGCCATATTTTTACAGAAATTTCTGGGATCAGGCAACAAATTTACACAAAGCCCCAGCTAATCTGCCAGAACAGAAAGAGAACCATCCCTATTCCAGTAACTCCCCAGCTGGGCTTCAGAAAAATCCAATGTGGCATGAAGATGAGAATTTGAACTATGGCATGCAAATTACTAGGCTGAATTCCCCAGAAAGAAAACATCTGGCTTTCCCAGACTTAATTCCTCAAAGTCACCCATCATATCAAAAAGAAGCACATTTATTTCACTTGAGCCAGAGAGGTTCCTGCTGTGCTGGTGGCTCCCGGGGGCCCAAGGATGACCCGCTGGCTCTGCAAGACTATACTCCCTCCTACGGTCTTGCACCAGGAGAGAACCAGGACACCAGCCCTTTGTATATGGAAGGTAGCCATCCCAAGCATGGAAGACATGTAGTCTCCCCAACAAGTATCCTACCTGGCCAAAGGAACAGCTCAGAGAAGAGACTGCCTGGGGAAAGCCAAAACCCAAATCCTTTTAGAGATGACGTATCCACTCTGAGGAGGAACACACCATGTTCTATGAACAATCAGCTGGGCCAAAGGGGAATTATACCCCTTCCCGAAGCCGGTTCCCTTCAATCAAAGAATACACCTTGTCTCAAAAGTGATCTTGGAGGAGAAGGGAACAATGTTCTGGAACAGATTTTTGAAGACAACCAGCTCAATGAAAGAACTGTTGACCTAACTCCTGAGCAGCTTGTTATCGGTACCCCTGACGAAGGCCTCAATCCAGAAGGTTTCCAAAGTGAAGTCCAAGGAAATGAGAGTGAGAGGCAGCAACAAAGACCGTCTAACATCCTGAAGTTACCATGCTTTGGCTCCAAATTAGCAAAGCATCACTCTTCCAGCCCTGGACCTCCATCTAGCAATGGAAGGCAAAGCCCATTTGACGGGGATCCAGTAATGCCTACGGAAAATCCTAACACATTGGTTGAGTTAGCTACTGGGGAACAATATACGGGTATAAATGTAGACCCACTTAATGCAGACGAACACACTCCATTTGAATCCTTTCAAAGAGGGGCCAATCCACAGGACCAGGTACAAGACTGCTTACTGCTTCAGGCCTAGGGATTATTTCAACCAAGAGTTCTTGGAGAAAGGAAAATAACTGATACTTTATACCAATGGTTCCCAGACTTTTTTCCCCAAGACTCAATTAAGTATCTGACCCTCTGGGTGATCCTTAAGTTTTTCCCCCTCCCAGCAATAGGAATAGTGGCCCAGGTGGAGCTAATGAGACTGGGTCTCTGGGGGGTCACCAGATCCAGCACTCTCACTAATTAGTGCAGACCTAATTAAAAATAAAAATAAAAAGCAGGAAGGCCATGACCATCCCCACCTCAAAACTTAGAAGCCATTTGTCTGGGTTAGTTTCATTTTGAATTTTAATTTCTCCTTTTTTTCCTCAAAGTTCCATACTTGCAGAATTACCTAGTTTTGCAAGACTGCAAGACAGATGAACTTTCCATTTTATGTGTGAAGACCTACACATCGGTCTAGTCCTTAAGTACTGTACATTTTTTTCCCTTGCATTGGTCTTGTCAGTTTTTTGGGTTTTTTTTTTTCTACTCGATATTCTTTTTGGGCATCTTTTTCTTCCACAACACTCTCATTACCTTTATCATCCTCTTTCTTGGCTTCCTTCATTCTTTTCTTTCTGCCTCAACCATTCTATATTTAGCTTTCTAGTTATCTTCTCCATCTTTCTCTATCCCTCCATCACTTATTACATATTCAGCTAGCTGCTTGTAACCACCACTTATGACAACATTCGCTTTTAATTATCTTGTGGTCTCTACCAGGTGGACACAGCTAAGTTAGAGGAACACAGTCAAGGAGGAGGGAAGACAGGATAGTTACACAGAACTCGCAGCCTAGGAAAAGGGCTTAGGAAAGTAGCGGGTGAAGAACTGAAGAAACCGTTGCTCTGGGACTGAGCACCCAGGAAAAAAAGAAAGACTAAGACATTCCCCCCCACACCAACTCATAGTCTGCAGGGTCGGTAGAGGACATTTCGGGAAACACTGTCTTAAACAAATAAAACACCCAGTATTTAGCTTTTTTTACTAGTTCAGCCTAAGTGATTTCACCAGTATGTACTACTCGTAACATACTTATTCTTTATGTCGTGTAGAATTATTCACAGACACACTTTCTTGGTATTTTGATTAAATAGTGTAAATTATTTTGTAAAGTAGATATTTCTATGTTGCCTTGTTTAGAATACATCTGGGTTTATTAGTAGTATTATTATAGTTAATTGGCATTTTGGCCTATTACCTGGATATCCCTTGCCTAGAGGGAAAAATTCTCAGAATAACCTAAAAACTTACCTTCCAACTTTAAGGCATTTCTTAGAAGAAATTGTCAAGGACAGATTTCATAAGAAGATCTCAGAAATTTGGGAAAATGTAATCCTTAAAACTTCCTGAAAAAAAAAAATCTTGCCCTTTAATCTTCTAAAATACCTAGCACAGTGTCTTGTATATAAAAGCTACTCAATAAATATTTATTGATTGACTGACTTTTGAACGGCTTTCGACATACCCACGAAAACTCTTTTCCTGCAGGTGAACTATCTGGGATGTTAAATGAGCCACCACACTCTGTAGTTTTCTATATTCAGCAACATTTGCATCATAGAATTTCAGCATAAGAAGGGATTTTTAGAAGTAGATTGTCTAGGCCATCCACTAGTTGCTTCCAGTCCCCTCCCCCCAGCCAGTTTAATATTTTAATCAAACACTGAAAAATCATTAACTTATTCTGTATAAAACTGTCTTTTAATAATTATCCTCTCAAAATAAAACTATGTTATTGTTTCACTAGGTTTTTTTTTTTCAAATTATTTTTTTGAAATCACAATACAAATACTTTATCGCAAGATACTGACTTTATATTTTACCAAAATGCATGGGTCTCATAGATGTTTTGGCAGATATATTGACACATCTGAACCTAGGAAGCACTGCTTCTTAAATCATCATCTGAGACCTCTGCAATGTAAAATGTAGACAGTACAATGTGACAAAAATATCTATTGAATTTGAGAACATAGAGTGAAAACAAGGGAAAATTCCCCTGGAGAAAATGACGCTTGATCCCGTCAGCACAGGTATGCTTTGGCAAGCCTGGACACCAGCCCTGAACTCCTTCCAGTAAAGAAATTAATTATCCTGTGTGCCCTGGCTCAGGTGTTGAGTTTCAAGTTCTCAAGGTCTGCTCTCAAGTTAAGGTACACACAGGAGAGTTGGAATGTTCTGGCGGTGAGCCCCCTTGCCTCGGGCATCCACACCCCACCACTACTGCCCCACTCCCATGGCAAGTTTCTGTGTCTAGTGGTCGCCACCTGCTGATCCTGAAATGTGTATAGTCTGTGATGTCTTTAGTTGATAAAGTAAAAAAATACATATCCAAGTTTTACAAACACAGGATATAACCCAATAAGGCTAACATATACTTGCTTTCTAAGAACAGTTTATAATCTACTTCTCTAAAAAATAGCTGGGCATTGGTACAGGTGACTGAGGGAAATCTTGCACTTCCTCACTTTATACAGAAAGCCAAGCAGGATGATACAGTATAGGGTTTAGCCAGGTCTCTGCAAACTCTGCCTAGTAGCCATTATCATGCAGCCATTGTCTTCTGGCTTTTTGGAGCACCTAAAGATGTAGATAACCCGTTTTGGTTGGGTCACTCGCATCAGAGTCTTAACTTTATACATCTTGAAAGAAAATTCACAAGAAATGACCTTTGAGTTATTTTTATTACTTGTTTAAACATATCTCTGCCCACTTGTTTCCTCTTCTCTCACTTACCCCAATCTCCTTCAGTCATGACCTTAAATAACCTGAAAAAAGATTCATCTCACCCTCAGGAAACCAAACTTCATTTCTAATAACCAAAAAGGGAACCGGAAATGTTGGACTTCAAATCAACCGCTCGGTCCCTCCTTCGCAAAACTTCAAGTGTTTCACTGTGACTCAGGCCAAGTGCCCAATTTATACGCAGAAGAAAACTTCACGTGGTGGAAAATAGATGTTCACCGTTTCACGGTAGAATATAGCATTTGGTTTTGTCCACCTGGTCTTCCTTGCCGTTCGGCCTCACCTCTGGTCCAACAACATCAGCTACTGAACATTGTCCTCTCACTTTGAATTTACAGTCAATTAGACTTAAAAACAGAATTCAGCTGGCAACAGGCAACATTCCATACCAGCAGGTGAGAAATCTTCAAAGGAAGAAGCAAGGAGGAAGCTGAGTGGTAACTGGACACAGACGTAATTGTAAAATAGACAAAGCTGCTCTCAGTGACCCCCTCCTCCCTGGACAAGATCCCCTTCACTCCTGGTGCCCCATTTCCTCTGCCCGAGCACACAGAACCCTTCGTTTCTGCACCTCATCAGAGCTTGGACAGAGCTTATCCAAATAACCTTATTTCATCCTTTTCTGCACTATATAAAGCAGTTGTTTGCTGTGGTTAAACCTGGTAAAAAGATTTTTTTTTTCAAGTGTACGCTAATATGCAGTCCTCCCAGATCATCCGACATTCCCTTAAAGAGTGAAACTAACCTTGGCATATTTAGGGAAGGAAAATGGTAGAAAGTTTTGCCTGGGGAGGTCCTCGTCAGTTCCTCAGTTGTTAAACCACATTGGCAGCTGCCTCCTTTAACTAGGATTCAGGCTGTTTTGTGATAGTGTTGCCTGCCATACCTGCATTATTCGAGTTTTACTGTGTCTCTGATTGCGGATTGTGTTAAAATGCAGGTTTGGACTCTGTGGACCTGGAGCAGGGCCCACCATTCTGTAGTATTGGCACGCTCAGGTGACGATGATTCAACCAGTCAGTGAACCAAATTTGGGGTGGCAAAATGCTAGGCCGTTTCCTATAAATAAGCGACACCTTCACATTCACCAGGGAAGGAACAGGAAGATCTTGACCACCGAAAAAACTGAGTGTCCCCAATCCGAGGGGATGTGTATGAGTGAAGCATGTAGGTGAGATTCAGTAGAGAACACAAAGAGAAAGAGGCGCAGGCTGGTCCTGTCTCTACTCCTACGTTTCTGTTATGCTTCTCCCTGTTTCTTGGCCTGGCTCATGTAGTTCTAGAAGCTTTCGCTCTTCATCAGTGAAGGCCCTATTCAGTTACCGTCTCCTCCAAGATTACCCCCGCCCTAGCATCCCCAGCCTCTCCGAAGGCTCACAGCATGTCGTCTTTAATATTTAATCACACATTTGTCTCATGTGCTTTTTCCTGTGTTAGTTTTGCCTGCAGAAGCAGTAGGAAAACTCTAGAAAGTGAGACCCAGTTCTCATTCTTCTTATGTACCCCTGATAGCAGCTTGTACTGTGCTGAGCACAAGAAGACGCTAAGTAAACATCACTTTGTCTTTAAATACATTATGCAAGTGAATGAAAATTTAGAACTTCCCAAAAATTAGTATAATTGATTAAAATTAGAAATTAATTAATAATGATTAACATTTTTCTAATTATAAAGTATACAGTCATTGTAGAATATTTGGAATATACTAAAAAGTAAAAGAAAGCAAATAAAAACATTTTGGCTTCTTTCCCTCAAGTCTCTTCTCATGTACGTGTAGGAGGGGTGTTCTTAAAGTCACTCTTTTATGCAATATCCTACATTTTCCTCTTCACATTGTATAGCAATTTTCATAAAATTTAAAATAATTGAAATTTCATTTTTGTTGTAGGTAAAATATTCTAAAGTATATATACCTATATTACCATTCCCTTGATCATGGACTTAAAGTCTGCTTTGAATGTTCACTGTTATAAATAATATTAGGATAAATATCTCTATCCCACTTTGATCGTATTTCTGGTTACTTCCTCAGAAGTGGAATTACTGGGGAAGATGGTCTGCAAATGTTTAGACGGGATAACATACGAAATGAGAGCATAGGCTTCTGAGTCTGACAGCCTTGGATCCAACTATCAGTTCTCCATATACTACTTGTAAAACCTTAGGCAGGTTATTTCATCTCCTTCCATCTCAGTTTCATCATTTGTAAAGTAAAGAGAGTACTTGTTTCATAGGGTGCTATATGAGGATTAAATGAACGATCCATGTTAAAAATGCATAGTCGTTGCATTTCATAATTCAACCACTAGGTGGGAGTGGAGGTTTGTAATTCTAAAGTAGTGGCTTTCAAGCAATTCCCAGCAGCGACAGAACCTGGGAATTTGTGAGAACTGCAATTCCTCCAGCTGCACCCCAGAACTACCTAATCAGCAAATCTGGGGGTGAGGCTCAGTAATGCACTGTGACGAGCACATTCCAGGTGATTCTCATGTACTCTAAAATTTAAGAATCACTGATCTAATATGTATTTGCAGTTTTCTCTGATTTGTTACCTAGGCAGAGAGAAGAGCCAAGACAATTAACACATAATAACAACCGCAGTTTACGTAGTGTTGCTGACTGCTACATGAGCTATAAGAAAATGTTAGGGTGGACATAGCGATCGTCTAAGAGCCTCATCTGATATTTGTTGAGGCTATAGCTGAGTGATTCAGAGTTTTCATTGTCACTAAACAAGTGAACCACCCAAATTCCTGATTATCCACTGAGTTGATTTTTTCACTTATAATATAAAATACCCAAAAGTTATTGTAGGATTAAATGAAATGACATAAACAAACCATTTGGCATGTGAAGAATACTCAATGTCATCATTATCATCATTCAAGCAGATAGATCATAATTGGCTATTGTGTTAATGTGAGCCCTGAAGAATTGCAAGATGAGATTAGAGGTGCAAAAGATTTATTGGGAAAACACCTGGGAGAGAAAATGGGTGGGAAGTCGGAGAAGGCTGAGAAGGTCAGTAGACCCTTAAGCAAGTCTGATCCACGTGCAGGAAAGAGGATAGCAAGGCAGTGGAGTAGGCAGTATCTGGTGGTGCCGTGCCAGGAAATGTTCAGCAAAGCCAACAGGGAGTCCCCAAGTCAGTGTCCTATCAGGTCAATTTTCCAGGAACTGACCTGTCTCGGTACCTCTGTCACATTCAATAATCATTGGTTGGAGCAGCTCATGGAAAGTGTGACCTTACACAAGCACAGTGGTGGATCTTAGAGCCACAGGTCAATTATACTCTTTGCAGGGAGAACCAAGAGGCTCCTTTCATGGTCACGTCTACACTGATTCCTTAGCGAACTTCTGCTAAATATTCTACTAATATATGCAAATGTATGAGTAAGACTTACAAGAAGGCTTTAATCTTTCTTCAGTAACTCTCATTTAAAGAGTTACCAGCTACTCCAGATTTCTATTGAATGAGTTAATATTTATAAAGCATTTAGGTTGGTCCTAGCACATAGTAAGTGCTGAATTGTTATTAACACATTGACTGCCACACTAAAAAAATTTTTTTTCCTTGGGACCACGGTGTTGTATTATGAAAATAGAATAAAAACTTCAAAACCAAAATGATCCTTTCTAATTTAATGAAAAAGTGGTTACTTTTTATTGTTTTCTGTGCTTGAGTTATACACAACTTGAAAAATAGTTCTCGCGGCTTCCAAGGAGTACATCTTTAGTACATCAAAACTATGATTCCTGGCTGGGCGCAGTGGCTCACGCCTGTAATCCAAGCACGCTGGTAGGCCAAGGCAGGAGGATCATTTGAGTTCAGGAGCTCAAGACCAGCCTGAGCAAGAGCGAGACCCCGTCTCTACTAAAAATAGAAAGAAATTAGCTGGATAACTAAAAATATATGGAAAAAATTAGTCGGGCATGGTGGCGCATGCCTGTAGTCCCAGCTACTGGAGGCTGAGGCAGGAGGATCGCTTGAGCCCAGGAGTTTGAGGTTGCTGTGAGCTAGGCTGATGTCACAGCACTCTAGCCAGGGCAACAGAGTGAGACTCTGTCTCAAAAAAAAAACTATGATTCCTACCGAAGTGCCAGAGTGTCCTATCCATACCCTTAAAGAAGCAATGAATAGTCAGTCGGAGTCACTAAAAATGACTGTTGACATTTTTTTTAAAAAAGGAACAATGCCTTGTCAAGAAACCGGCTTTTACTAATCATCCTCCCACTATTTCAAATCCAGAGTCAGCATCTACTTTCCATAGTACCCTTAGATATATATGTCAGTGGGCCTTGGCTTCCTGCCATAAAGAAGTTTTGTGTACCATGATAAACAAACACTGTGTTTATCAGGAGGAACTTTGCCCTTTTATCTAATTTTAGGTGTAAAATGACAAAGCCACCTCAAATGTGTACATGTATGAAATCAGTGATTAATGCATCATGACATCGTACTTACAAACTGTTCATCAGTAACAAGTTATATTTAACTTGCACGCAAGTTAACATGAGCAAACTTTTTTCCAATAAATTATTTCACACAGGTATATGCTTATGAATCTATTTAATTGTTCAAACTGTGCTAGAGAATACATATTTTGGAATACATATTTCATTAGATTCAGTTACAATATAGATGGTTTCCAGTGGGAATTTGATACTAACCTGATTATCAAAAAAAAGAGAAATCTGTGTCATCTGCTTCCAAGTCTGTGTGTTACGGCAAAATATATTTTTCAATTATGCATTTAGTTATTCAGCAAATTGGTTTCATATATATTAGAGATCTTATTTTAAATTATTTTTATAAATAGTTCTAAAACATGCTTTCCAATTATTTTTCTAATGAAGACATATAATTGAAATATGCTTACATATGTATTTTCTCTACACAGTGAAACATTCTAAAAAGAAACTAGTGATAGAAAATGCAGAAGCTCTGGCTCTCCAAGACAAAAGCCAAAAAAAAAGGTAACATTTTATTATGCCTCCTGATTTTAACACTTTGAGTTTTATTTTCTCCCCTTGTCTATTTTTTTTTTTTTAATGCTAGAAGCTGGGTTCTTAAGGGAGTACACCTCTTCAGGCGAACATGATAACTGACACATTTTAATACTTTAGAGTGTGAACATATAAGATTGAGAAGTAATTTTCTAATAAAGATAACAATGTTACTATTTAAATTATTTTGGGGAGAAAGTTAGTTTAATGTTATCCAAAAAAAAAATCCTGGTTTCAAATGCATTGGTTGTAAATATATTAACTTCTGGATCAAAGTGGAGAGCCTCTCAAGATAGCGTTGCGCAGTCAGCAACAACTTAAGTTAGTCAGGATAGCAGGAGTCCGGGGTCAAGGCTGTTTCCACCATTCTGGTCACACCACCGTATGTAAATGGGACCACAGCCGTGTAGCACTTGTTTCTGTCATAAGTGTAGCAGGTCTCTGTGGCACTGTCTTCTTCACAGATATTGCTCTGGGTAGCAGTAACTATCTGATTCTCCAGCTCTACTTCTACAGGGTCACATTTTTTACAGCTGAAAAACAAACACACACATCAGACGATCCCCATCAAACGCTGTCTCAAAGCCTGAGCGACTACACGTTACTCTCCAAAACCAGTTAGTTCTTGCGGCTCTGACCTGACAACTAACAAAGGATAACTCCTGTCAGAGCTAAACAGCTCTACAATACAGAATGGTTGGAGATTTTCAACCTTTAACATGTAAAAATTAGTTCAAAGTAAGCAACATAATTAATGCTATGATTGTTTTGTCTACACCATACAGCAGTTTCTATTGTGTTAGGCTCATTCCCAACTGTATACTTGTTTAAACAAGTTATTCATAGTGATGATAAAGGAAGAATGTTTTTTAAAGAAGTGATACTGGATTCTATCATTTCCAGAGAAACACCTGCATGTTTATAAGATGAAATCCACTTATTGAACTATTAAGATAATTTGGCCCTTCTTCTATAAATGGCAATAATTTCTTTGGAATAAATTCATAGCCAATTTTTGTCTGTGACAAAGTTTTTATGAATGTATGATACTAAGAAGTAACACAGGAATTAATGTATTCAAAGGTTCACATTATATTTGTAAATATTTATACCCCAACATATTTTCTAAAACATTCTTACTAACAAATTTAATTAAAGGTTATGAACTTCCACATCTATATTTGTATGAGGGAAAATCTCTTACAGGTCAGACAAATGGTACTCAAATTTGGTTCTCAATGGTGAGGTGGGATCAGAGATATTCTCCCTGCTGTTCAGAGGAACACTAAAAAAAAAGAAAGAAAACAGTAAAATAATGAAACACAGATATTATTTATTATTGGTAATAGGTATATTGCTAGAACAGTACTTACTATTTCATTAGAACAGTATATATATCGTTACATTTAGCATTCTATACACACTCTATAGGAATACTATTACTCAGATTTTTGTGGTAATTTGCTATATTTTAAATACTTCCCATTCAAAATAAACCTCATAGCAAGTCTTCTGTCAACTATCTTTGTTTACTTGGCAAATTCCTGTTTTTCTTTTAAAAATCAACTCACATTTTACTTCTGCGATGACTACTTGATCCCATCCCCACCCCTCAATAAACTTCCTCTGTAGTCTCATTAATGCTCAAATATATTTATCATAACAAATGCCATGTCATAGTTGTTTGTATACAGAGTGGTTGCTGCCCCGGGCTATATAAATTCCTTAAGGCAAAAACATGTATGTATTCCTGGTGCCTGGCTAGATGTGTGGCATGTAGAATATGTTCAGTATTTGTGAAATGAACAGACCAATATTACTATCCACAGTTTAGAGATGAGGAAATGAAAAATTAGAGAGGTCAGTGACCTACCCGAGTTCATACAACCACTAAGTAGCAAAGCTGGAAGTTTTTCACGGTGATGTACCATGCAAAATTAGATGATTAACAACCAGTTCAGGTGATTTTATTAACTTTTACATTTTTCCATCTATGTCATCATCCCTCCTCATATGCACCCCTCCCTACCAAAAGGAACAAAGAGAAACTCGTGTTTCCTAAATCAGTATTTACCAATACCATCCACATAGGTAGCCAAGCCAAAAACCCGGAGATCACCCCTGAATCCTCCCTCCCATCATGGCCTCTATCTAATCAGCCTCACAGTCCAGTTGATTCTAATTCTTTACATGTGTGAAATCCACCCACTTGTCTCTCTCCTCACTGTTGCTGCCTTAATTCAGGACACCGTCAACCCTGTCCTAGATTGTAGCAATACCTTCCTTTTGTCTTGACCCCTCCAATGTGTTAGCTACATTATTGCCAAAGTAGCCTTTCTAAAATGCAAGTCCTGATGTCCTTCTCTGCTTAAAACCAACAGCGTCTCCCCACAGATAACAGGGTATGTTTAAAATCGCATAGAAAGCATTTCTAATATGCCCCTAACTCTCCACCCTCATCTGTCACCATGCCACCCAATACGTACCAGCTGTAAACAACTACTGGCAATTTCGCAAACGTCCCTTGCTTTTCTTATTTCCAAGTCTTAACAATAACAAAACAGTAATGGTTCTAACGTACACTAAGGACTTACGGTGTGCCTGGTGCTATGCTAAGCATGTTACGTGATGATATCACATAATCCTCACAGCAGCCCTGTTTCCTTTTCCTGGAATGGTCCGCCCCACCTATTACCGCTCTCACTTCCCACACAGTTACCCGGTTGAGTCCATTCAGCCAACAGCCATCGTCCATTCCACCACTTCCTCAGAACACCCTTCCTGCTTCCCACTGCCGCCCTCTGCTCCACCGCAATGGACTGACAGTCCTTCCTAAGTGTTCCTGTAACATCCTGTGCCTGCTCTTGTATAGCATTTACAGCACAGTGTTGTAATTACGTTTTTAATTGTTTAAAGCTCCTTATTAGACTGTTAATTCTTCGATGGCATGGACTGTGTTTTATATACATTGTTGTATCCCCAGCACCAACCCTCGATATCTGGCATTCACTAAATAAATATTTGTTGAATGAATGAATGAATGAATACATCTATTCTTTCTTAGATTGTAAAGGTTCTAGTAATATCAGAAAAGGCCTTCAATAATAGGAAAGACAAGGGAATAAACATTTCTGAGGGTGTACTGTGAGCCAGTGTTCCTTTATAAATTATAATATTTAATCCTCACAACCCTATAAAGTATATGTGTATGTATTTACACATACATAATTTTCCCTTTTCTAAAGTTTAGGAAACAGGCTCAAATGAGTTAAACAACTTGCCCGAAGTCACATCATTTTAGTAAGTGGCAGAGTTGGGAATGATGCCATAATAACCCAGTGCTGGTAATGTACTTCCAGAAGTAAGATCAGGAAGATCAATATACAGTAGGCAAAGTAGCATGAAGTAAATGAATTATCCAATTTCAGTGAACGTATCATAGAGAAAGAACCATTCCATAAAAGGAAAAGATGAGTTACAGGATCATGGAGGGCCATTCAAAAAATCTCCTCCTGCAGATTTAAATGTAAGACTCTCTTCTTCAGCATGGTTTAAGTGCCAACGTCACGGACGCCGTCCCTTCAACTACGTGTTTCTCCAGTTGTTCTATCCCTAACGGAGCCACGAGGGCAGGATCTGAGTGGTCAAAGCAAACCTGCTGGAGGAAGTGATGAGCAAACTAAGACATGCAAATTAAGGAGGAGTTAACGAGGCTGAGTGGACGGGAGAGAGTTCTTCACACGGAGGAGCTAACAGAGCACCGTGAATGTGAGGAAATGAAGACACTACAGTATTGCCGGGTTTCTAAATATAAAGGAAAGGAAAAGTGGCAATGGCTGATGTTGAGAGTTGTGCTAAGCTTTGGAGGTTAGGCCAAGGCATTCGTAATACATCCTAAGCACCATGTTGGGGAAACCACCAAAAGGGTTTTAAGCAAGATAGTGACAATGGTGACTGGCACATAGATTAAGTGAATAGATTAATAGCAAATTTTTAAAATATGTGCCAGAAAATATATAAGTTATAAAAAGAATATTGTCATTTTTATGATAACCCCATGAGGTAGGCATGATTTCCCCCTATTTAAACATAAGAAGTTGAAGTTTAGAGTGGATAAGTAACTTGCATACAAGAGCACACAGTTATTAATGGACTCAGCCAGAACTTAAAACAAAATTCTTAAACGCATTATACTTTTCCCATTGATTGACTGGGAGTGAATGCTATGTTCTCCTTCTATAAGACGTAGTTGATTGGGGGACAACTATTAAGGTAAGAGTGGTTCAAAAGGAAAAGTTATTACTGATTAGATCAAAAAGCAATCTCATTTCTCCAACAGTATTAGCATTCTTGCTATTCAATACATTGCATATAACTCTGGACTACATGTGAAATGAAATGAATATCTGAAGTCCAACCTACAAGTGAAGATGAAATCAAATTAGTCAATTTGATCAGTCTGCCTAATCTTTATGCAGACATTTGAGTAATGTAAGATACTCAGTAGTCCATATATGGTACAAAATAAGGCTTTTAGTGTTATCTGAAGTTTCAGTTTAAATTGATCAGAGGCAACGGAAAGTTCTGATTCAAATTGAAATAACTCAACAGGGTAAGTTGATGACTATATCGGAGCCTTCAGTTAAAATTTGGTCTACCCAGCTGGTTTTAGATTGCCTGGAATTCTCTGTTCTTGCCCGCAACTTCTACAAAATTGCCTCAAGCTCCTTAACAAGATTGAACCTCATGTAAGATGCTACACATCAAAAGGGGTCGTAAAGATACAGATATTACATTCAAACAATGCTTAATATCAGAAAGTATCTCTGTTTACAACAGGAACAAAGGATATATGGAATGCCACGTACATAATTCGGATGTTTCTTTCCACAATGTCCTCATTAGGGTCTTCAGAAGACTGGATGACCCTGGAAGTAATCCGGGCACACTTACATTTGTTGTCAACAAGAACAATCCTTTCATCTTCGTCTTGGGCTAGAAAGGCAAAACATAAGAAGAGGAAAGGAAAACAAAAGTCAATTTATATATTTTGTATTGGTTCATTTATCTTGCTTGCCTCCAGAAAAATAAAGTTTTATGGTCAATCTGTCTCAGCTTTCTCCATTTGTTCTCTAAGTGGAATCTCACATCATAGTGAAGGAAATCCAAATGTACTCTAAAAGGAATTTTCTCTTTTTTCTTTGGGCCAGCCTTTGGAAACCTGGGCTGAAATAATTCTGATTTCCATCTAATAGAGGCACAGCTCTCTGAATGATGCAGCCTTATAAAAGTCAATGCCAAATGCCAAAGTGTAAGAGAAAACAAAAACCTAGATTGTATTTCTCCCAGACCAAAGCAATTCATTCAAAAATGTACAAAAATCAGCATTAGCCTGTATAAGCCTGACTTGAAATGTCATATTTTCCTGAACTCTCATTTGTACTTAAAAAAAATTTTTTTTGCATAAACTGAATTAGAGTTAAGAACAGGCATGTTATCCCCCAAGATAACCTTACTTTTTATAAGACTCTTAAATATTCTCTACCACAACTTTTCTAAACTAATTATATTCTTTTTCACAATAATCACCAGATTATCATGGTGCAATGAATGATTCAATCAAATACAATAATAAGGGCTATATGTATTATTATTTCCTATAGGAATTATTTTTAAAGATAGAGTATATACAGATGTAAAGTGCTATAAATTTGCAAAAACAATTTAAAAAACATTGTGAGATAAGAACTCAATTAAATATAATATGCTTGTATACAGAAAAAAATGAATAAATTAATTAGTACACAGATGACCATTAAAATCTTAACTTTGAGTGTCAACATTCATAGTCTAATCTGAATATTAGACAAAGAGGTCTGGTAAGTATCGCAAAGAATAAACAGAAAATTTCTTATTATCTGGAGTTGGATCAGTTAACAGATTTTAAAGAGTTAATAATAGCTCTACTTAATAGTGCTAATTAAGATAATAATAATGATATTAAATGTCTTTTTTATCCCTATAATTTTAGCTAGGTGACCTTTAAAAATTCCTCCCAGGAAGCCTCAATTTAAAAAAACAAAGATTTAGCACATGAATTCAAGTTATAAAAGTTAAATAATGAGAGTAGATATAATTGTAACTGGAAGTCTGAGATGATTATTCCTGAGATGATTCCCAGAGCAGAGAGGCCCTAATTGCAATATTTCAGTCTTAATGATAACTGCCATTACAAAAGCATTTTGAGACCATTGTTATTGTACTTAGAATTGTTCGAAGTACCTTATAATGCGTTTTTATGCCATTATTCATTAGTCCTTAATAAATCTTCTGACACAAGTCTGTATGATATTGGAGAAGAAATATTATGGAGTCAATTCAAGATAAGGATACAATTCCTATTAACGTTCTGAAAAGAGTAAAATGACTTAAATGGTCCTCCTCTTTACTTCTGTATCTATGACTCTTAAATGTTTTTCTCAGTGAAATATAAATGAGCACGTAATGCCTGACCAAAAATATAGATTCAGAGTCAAGTGAATGACTTGACTAAGTCTTAAAAAGAAAATGTCTATATTCTATTATGGCATATAATTTATTTCCTTACCAGAAACCTGGGAGGAGACTATTGTTACTGTTAATATTTAAAAAATATTAAGCAGCCTAATATATCTACCTGAAAATATACAAATATTTTCAGTTCATCAAGACTTAGAGTCTAACATTCATTCTCACTGATAGGTAGTATTTTTTCCTAAAAACCTGTTAATAGAAACTGTGCCTTACTTTATTCCAAGAGTGCCTGAGACATAGTAGGTGTTCAATAAATATTTGTTAAATTTAATTTAATTCAGTTCAAGCAAATAAGACTGGCCGAGCGCGGTGGCTCATGCCTGTAATCCTAGCACTCTGCGAGGCCGAGGCGGGAGGATCACTCAAGGTCAGGAGTTCGAGACCAGCCTGAGCCAGAGCGAGATCTCGTCTCTACTAAAAAAAAAATAATAGAAAGAAATTAGCCAAACAACTAAAAATATATATAGAAAAAATTAGCCGGGCATGGTGGCACATGCCTGTAGTCCCAGCTACTCGGGAGACTGAGGCAGGATTGCTTGAGCCCAGGAGTTTGAGGTTGCTGTGAGCTAGGCTGATGCCACGGCACTCTAGCCTGGGCAACAGAGCGAGACTCTGTTTCCAAAAAAAAACAAAAAAAGAAAATAGACTTAACAATGCATGCCAGATATGACCAAAATGAATTTACTAAAAGGCCCTTATGCAGGCAGAATAGGATAGTGGTTAGGAGTGTGGGCTATAGACTCAGATTGCCTGAGTTCTACCTACCATTTGCTTGCTGTGTGAAATTAGGTGAGTTATTTCATCTCTCTAAGTCTCAAGTGGCTCAACTATATGTCGGAAATAATAATAGTACCTATCCTCATATAGTTATTGTGAGAATTAAATGAAATACTATATGTAAAGCAGTTAGCATAATGCCTAGAACATAGTATTCAATAAGTGGTAGCTATTTTATATACAGAAAGTCTCAGACTTACGAAGGTTCTACTTAGGATTTTTAAGCTTTAGGATGATACAAAAGCAATATGCATTCAGTACGCTTTCAACTTAATGATGTAGTTAACTCTCAATAAACCCATTGTAAATTGAAAATATCACACTTTCAACTTACAATAAGTTTATAGGGACATAACCCCATAGTAAGTTGATGAGTACGTATATAGCTTTATGTTTATAAATATATTTATGGATGTATACATACATATATTGGACATATTTTACACTATTTTATATTTTAAATACTATTAGTTATTTTTAATGCTAATTATATAAAATATATAAAATGACTATTCTTAACTAATAATTACTTAATAACTAATATTAATTAATGATTATTAACTATTCTTAATGCCGTGTCTTGAAATAAGAACCAAAGGCTCAGTAAGTGTTAGAAACAATTAATCCAGCCAAACTATTCATGTGCCCTTCTAGAGGAAAATTATTTAATACTATACTTTTATGTCTGAAATGTATGCCATTTTCTATAATTGTTTCAAAGATCAATAAACAAAATAACAGATATTCAGCTATCAAGTTATACGCAACCTATACAACATTAAACATTGTTGAAGCATCATAATAAATCTGTGGGCTCAGAACCAGGAAAATTGTTAAAACTAATACCAGTCTCTCTGGGGAAATAAAATCCCCAGTGCATTCTATATTGTATTTAAGTAATTATTACTTCCTTTTCCCAGAATATTAATTGAAGAGACTCAAAGGGAGGATTATTGATTTTTAAAATCCACTGCGGACATTCATATAAGCAGAACTATCCATCGTTATCCACGAATGTCTACTTTCTTATTCTCTACATTGTAGTAGGCAAACAACTAATAGGAGAGAAAAAAGAATAAAAAGAAACACACCGAGTCGTGTCTGTGTAAAGATCACTGCCATACAGAGAGTAAAGCATGTTAGAAAAAAGTGGCTGACTAGCCGGCCAACCAAAGCGTAAACACAAATATTTACATCTGAAAAACAGATCTGTGCTATATTTTTCCTTTTATCTGGATTCATTTTATAAAGACCACATACCTGTCACAAGAACAGCCTTAACAAAAATGGCCAGGAGTCCCCAGAAAAGTAAGTGTCTCTTCATCTTGACTTCTTTTGCAAAACTGGAGCAAAAAAGTCAGGGTTAAGGTGTGTGATCTATAAGGAGTGTGCAAATGATGGTGCTTCTGCTTTCTTAAAATAACGTTCCAGGCAGCTAACAAACTAAAAACAATCATAACTGCGGTTGAAGGGTGAAGTTTAAATGCTGCACTGGACAGAAATGTGTGATTCGCATTTAAGTATTTTCTTCCAAAGAATACCCAAAAAGCCATCATTTGATGTAATCATTTCATTTTGCATTTATGCTATATAAATGTGTAAACCAGAAGACTAATAATAATTTCAAGGCACGAGTCTATTAAGAATGTTTAAATTGAGGTTCTCAACTTTATTACCTAGATATAGTCCTATTAGTCTTCAGATCAAATATCTGACATTTGTTGTGCCTGGAACAATAAATTAATGGACGGGGGGAGAGGAATGAAGGAAAGGAAGGAGAAAGAGATGAAATCCCGTTAAGGTCTCAAAAGAAATAAAATCCCTTTAAGGTCCCAGTTATATCTTATGTCAATTTCTTTCTACTAGTGCTTAATTAACCAAGCTACCTGATTTAAATATATATGTATATACTCTGATTACTTTCAGGTATTTTATAAGCTCGAATATAGAATTGGAACTAGAAATTGGTAGACACTAGATGAATCAGTTGCCATGCTTTAATTTGATAGCATTAAGGTAAATTTTGTGTTTGCTCATCTAGTAACACCTTTTCAGAATTGTAAACTCATGAGATGATCTTTATTTGAGATGCCTCAACAGAAAACTGAATCAATGCAATATTCTGTGTAAAATTTTTTCATTTAATTAGTGTCAAATTTAAGAAAACACCTGACCTTTTGGACAGAACACCCCTCCACCTCCACCCCAACATTCTAGAATTTCCTGTCTCTTAGGCAGGGTTGGTTCCAAGAATATGTTGGTTACATTTATATCTAATAGCATCAAATCTGTGTTACTTTTGGTTCTCAGCTCTAATTTTTGAAGGGATTCCTAGAATTTTAAGAGGTAATAAAGAATTCTTCAGGACCATAAATAGGCAAGCAGATTTCATAACTAAAAGTAGGAAATGGCAGAATGAAAGATACATTAAAGGGTAGCACATAAATGTACTCCTTCAAAGAATACGTACTGAAAGTCTAGCAGGAACAAAGTGCTAGGAGCTAGAACATGAAATATTACTATGCCATCAAAGTTTATTGTCATTTTAATTTCTATGTCAATACAACTTAGAAACTACTTGAGTATAAGAAAAATATACTGGAATCAGAAAAAGAAACAGACCTGAAAGCACATTATTTTAGTTTGTGGTCAGGGCTCCTCACCCCTAACTGAAGTTTCTATTAATAAATAACTTATTCTATTCTTTCCTCCTTAAAAAAAGTAATTAAAAGTTAGCTGGATACTTTTTTTAAGTCATTATTTCCTTGAAAACAAACTCAAAGTTAGGCTGCTCCCCAAAACAAGGTGGATAAATCACTGGGAAAAAATTAAAGCTTCCCCAAAGCTTTTTTTTTTTCCTATAAAACCAAAGATTTAATTCACAATTACTAACCTAAGGAAAAGCTCTATATTTGGTATTTTCATTCCTTTAATCTTGTAGTTTTGTATTTCTATTATGTAAACTAAGTGTTTAAAAGAAATCATTTTAATAAAAGTAAGGTATGATGCTTTGTCACCAGAAGAGAGTTATCTATGCTGGCAAAATAGACTCTGGACCAGTGTTTTCCCTTGTGAAGTCCAGGGATCATCTGCCTAAAATCACTTGGAGTACTAGTTAAAATTTGGATTTCCTGGCAGGGCAAGGTGGCTCACATCTGTACTCCTAGCACTTTGGGAGGCCAAGATGGGAGGATCACTTGAGGCCAGGAGTTTGAGACCAGCCTAAGTAAGAGTGAGACCCCATCTCTACAAAAAATAAAATTAAAAAATTAGCCAGTCATTGTGGTGCGCACCTGTAGTCCCAGCTACTCAGGAGGCTAAGGCAGGAGGATCACTAGAGCCCAGTAGTTTGAGCTTTCAGTGAGCTATGATTACACCACTGCACTGTAGCCCAGGCAACAGAGGGAGACCTTGCAAAAAAAAAAAAAAAAAAAAAAGGATTTACTGGCTACACTCAGAATTTCTGGAGATGTGGCCTTGGGATATGTATTTTTCAAAAACCATGCCCGCTGATTCTAATGTACACCAAAGTTTGAAAACTGATGCACAAAAAGCCTGTGGTGGGGTGGGGTCGGAGAAGAATAACTAGCAACATCCACTATTTATGGAAGAACAAAAGATTAAAGATAATTTTTTAAAACAAATAGGCTTATACTGAAAACACGTTAACTGAGGTTTCTGTTTATAATTCTGTGCTATAGTGAATTGTTTTGTGTTCTTTTTAGCATTAATCAACTGTATCTGCATACGACAGGTCTAATTTTAATTTTTAAACCATTTCTTTTCCAGTTTTAGTTATGTCCTTCCCACTAAAAAATGTAAACTGTGAATAGCGGAACCCTTCGCATGTGAGTTAAATGAGAGTTTTGCCATGTGTTCTAAATTCTTTATCATAAAAAGGCTTATTTTTCTACACTCATATTTAAGATTCACATAATAAGAGGTTTAGTGATAGACTCAGCTGGATAAAAGAGATCTTAAAGATAATTTAGTGTCCCTGTCATGACTCCACTGAAATTTTGTTTCAATTTCCTATGGAACAGACAATCTGAGTTCAGCATTTGTTTGAAAACCATCTGAAATAGTTGAATGCTTCACTCCCTTTGGACACAGCTTATTACATTTTGGAATACTCAAATTGTGACAAGACATCATTCTCTTGGGACATAGAGAACACACTCTCTTTATTTTCCGCCGGTCTCACTGACGACTTCTCGGTCTCTTGCTGAATTTTCCTCTGAATATTGAGGGCATCAACGCTTATGCCTCAGCCTTCTCTTTCTTTCATCCTATCCGTAATTAATTTTATCTTATCCCATGCCTTTGAACACAGATCATGCTCAAATGTATAACTCTAGCCCATGGAGCTCTATACTCCTGTGTCCAACTTTCTATTTGATAATAACTCCACTTGGTATCTAATGAGTGTCTAAAACTCAACTAGGCAAAACAGTACTCTTGATGACCAATTCACCCACACACTCCCATACCCAGTCTCCTTCTGTCTCAAGTTTTCTCCACAGAGACTTTCCTCTTTCCTACATCCAATCTGCCACCATGACCTACTAGCCTTATCTCTAAAATATATCCCAAATTCATCTGATTCTCTCCATTCTCCTCCCACCACTCCCATCCTCCCATCTCCAATATTTAGAAGAAAATTACCAATCACTGTCACATTACCCTATTTTATTTTCTTCCTAGTATTTATCATTGTTTGAAATTATTTAGTTTATTTAGTATCTGTCTCCTCCTTATTAGAATAAAATCTCCTTAAGAGCAGAATAATCTTGTTGCTCACTTCTGTTACCAAGAACAAACACAGGAATGCCTAAAATATATTGGTTGAATGAAGGATATATGAAGAACACTTTTACGAGGAGTTGAAAACTGCCTCCAGGTTTAAGTCCTCTAACAATATTAGTCTCGTTTTTGGATAGGCTCCATATTGTCAATGTCCCTTTTAAAGTGTAGTATACACGTAGGTATTCAATAGTCAAGTGTTATCTGACCAGCACTAAACACAGCAAAACTGTAACATTTTTCAATAAATGCTATTTGAAATGACAATATCTCTTTTTGGGCAGCTATGTTACAATATTGGCTTCAATTAAATGTACAATTAACTAAAAATCTCATTTTTTAAAAAAAAGTGTTTCTATAAAGTTATGATTTTCCCGCATTTAATACTTAAACAGTTAGGATTTGAGTATGAGTTTTAGCATTGGTCCCTAACTCTCATTTTGCTAAACTCAGACCAACATTACAAGATGTTGGAGTCTTTTTTAATCCAGATTCTGAAACTTAGCACCTTAGTTATTTCTCTCAGCTTCACAGTGTCTGCAAACACATGCCATCAGATCCTTACTTAAGGCATTAAGAAAAATGTTCAATGAGATAGTGCTTAAGATAGACTTCTACAGTACACATCTAAAGTCCTATCTCTACTAACACCAAGCCATTAATAAACACATTTTGGGTGCAGTAGTTCATTTCAGTTTACTCATAAATCCACACTATCACACAGACTGAAAGTCTGTATTTCATCCATAAGGTAACATGAATACTGATCATAAAAGACCAATCTCTCCTTTAGCCTTTATCTTTAATATCATCTCATTTCTCCCCTTGAATCTCTTCCCTGATATAAAAGGATCCTTGATAACAGCCTGGCATTTTGCCACTTAAACACTTAAAGGGGATGATGATTTTTTTTTTTAAAAGCGTTTTTGGCTTTAAAACCAAAATGTAGCTGAAATCTCTTGATTTTCCTTTTAATGGATTAAGTTCTACATTTAGTGTAATAATTCATATTTCCCGCTTGTCCTTAAACTTTATATGGAAAACAAGTTTTAGTAATGAATAGTATTGCCCAATCAGCTCCAAACAATCAGAGAAAAAATGAAGTCCACACTAAACCTCGAATCAAATGTCAATCTGTACATTACAAATAATCTAAAAATCTTTTAGATGTTAGAAATAACTTCTTACTATCACCAACAGTGTAAGAAAAGGAGAAATATATTTTTGTGTGTTGCCCTAAATATTTGACAGCAACTTTAGCGTTATTATAAGGGATAAGTCAAATGAAAGGGAATCATCAGTTCTGGATCCCCCTAAAAACGATCTTTCATTTCCTTATCACTCTCATGAACAGACTCCAAAATCTATTTCAGAGGGGGAAAAGAAATTTTAAAGAAGGCTGTAAAATGTATACTTGAGATAAGTATTTTACATCTGACAAATTTACAAAGGCTATTACTGAGGAACTCTGTCTACTTTTACAACCAGGGACATAGAACCACCTCAGAAACCCAGCATTAAATGACACAATGCAAGGATGATATATGGTAGGAGGGGGAGGAATGGATATTAGAGATTTCTCTCCCAAAGATACAGGTTCTAAAATATGTTAAAAGGTCATCAGATGGAACTGGAAACCATTATCCTAAATGAAGTATCTCAGGAATGGAAAAACAAGTACCACT